TCAAAAAAATGAAGACTCCTGTAATAAATTATTTTAGAGAATATAATATTCAATGTATTAATGAAGATTCTCAGCCATCCAGGTAGAATTGTCTGGAAGTTGAATCATGGCAACTGGACTTCTTTCATTTTGATTTGAAAAGTTTCATTGCATATCCAAGTAGCTTCTTCAGTCTGAGCAAGTTGGTGAAGGGGCTCTCCAGGACACAAGCTGTCCTCTATTCATACAAAAGGCACAGTTGTGTCTGTACTGCATTGCATTTTTTGACCCATGAAAAAGAGCAGGATCCTGAAAGCAGACTGCTGCCTCTTAAATCATGGATGGCACATTCTAAATATGAGTTGCTTCCAATTGAAAATGGAAAAGGCTGCTTGTTTGAGACCTTTGAACCCCCTGAATGGACTTGGTTGGTTAACTGGGAGATGGAGCCATGAATCCTGGACTTGAGCTTTTGACCTCATCCAGATTTTTTTAGGTTCTTAGTTATAAAAATTAAATTCAGGAAGGATCTACGAAAACTTGCCAGTAGACGTGCATATAGGTACATCACACACATACATCGATGTTCATGGATAAAAGATGCAGCAGTTAAAAAGAAAAAGAAAAAACAGGGAAGCAACCTGGAATTAGGAAGAAACTTCCTAAAAGTGAGGACAATTAAACCAGTGGAACAGCTTGCCTTCAGAAGTTGTGAGTGCTTCATCACTGGAGGATTTTAAGAAGAGACTGGACAGTCACTTGTCTGAAACGGTATAGGATCTCCTGCTTGAGCAGAGGGTTGGACTAGAAGACCTCCCAGGTCCCTTCCAGCTCTATTCTGATTCTGAAGATTCTGAAGTCGATCACTGGTAGGGATTGTGGTGTTTAGTGCTGTCAGTTTCTCCTTCTCTATACACTGACACTCTGCTCAGCTTAGTTTCTCCTTCCCGAATGAAGCCTTGCATCCAGGAAGACGGGCAACATGCCAGTCAGTGGTTGAGCCTCTCCTTCTCTCCTTTGCTAAGCAGCAATAGCCATTTTTGTTTATCTTTGAGCAAGAGGCTCAGGCCCCTGGACAATTAGGAGAGAGGTTCTGATTGCTTGTTCCTTGGCTCTTGGGTGCTTTTCAAGGATTGTTAAACTATCTATTTCTCCTGGTTTTTTTTTGTCTCATTAGTATCAAGATTCTTATCTCTTGCCATGTGTGCCCCTTCGGGCATGAATATGAGTATGGCACTTTTTCAGATTCCGCTTTATGTATGAGCCTCCCGAAGTCAATCATTCTAAGTCTGGGTCCTCAACAAAACCAGTAGAATTTTTTAATAATCTAATTTTAGATTTTGGCATCATTTCAGGTCTGGATTTTAAGTTCAGTTTGTGCTTTTCTTTGAGGGTTTTCCCTGTTTGAAAATTACTGATAAATAACTGCGTAATTCAGATATGATGCCTCATTGTTTTTTCATGTGAATCAAGCCTATGGGAATGGGCATAGAATTACAGTTAATTAAATACAAGATTGTCAATGAATAAGGATCTTCGTGGCAGGAGAGATACTTTGGCCACATAGCATCTTGTTATGGTGAATTTGATACCAGATCAATTATACACTGTTGAAAGTTCTTTGTAAATCATTACCATTCCAGTGGTTAGAATTTTAGCATCACAATTCAAATTGTTTGGTATGAAATAATGATAAATATTAAACTTGGTATCAGTGTTCCTTTTAATGTGAAGAAGATATTTTACAGAATACTTTAGAAAGGGAAAACAATCCTGAAAAAGGAAATGAAACCCAGTTTGCATTTTGAAATATGTCCAAAACTAACAATTCTGTAATATAGTGCAGATGCAATATCCCAGTGGTGCTTAATCTGCATAAGGCAGAAGCTTATTGTTGCAAGACCCAGAATTGCAGGAGTATGTCCAGTATGTCAGTGATAGAATTTTGGATTACAGCCCTAGAAATCTGGATTTAAATTTCTATTTAGGCTGAAATTGGCAGACTTCATGCTTGCCTCAGTAATAAATCTCTCCCAACACTAAATCTCATATTCAGGAATTTGCTTGCAGCAGATATGGCATGGCTAGACAAGTTGCTTTATTGCAGACCAGATAGTAGTTACGTATGCATAGATAGAAGATGTGCCCACTGGTAAACAGAGAAATTGAAATGCATGCATTCCTGCTCCAGGATTTAAATTCTTGGCTCCCAACTTTTCTGAATATGGGTGCTCACTGAACATGGCCTGAAATTGTAACATCTGAATAGACACATGAACCCAATTAGAATAGAATAGAATAGAACAGAATAGAATAGAATAGAATAGAATAGAATAGAATAGAATAGAATAGAATAGAATAGAAT